AATGTAGAAAAAACCAATTTTAAATTAATTAATTTATAATTTTTTTTATAACTAACAATATAATATATATAATATAATATATGTATAACAATTTGTGCTTAATGACAAATTTAAATAATTGAAAATAATAAACTTAATTTAAACTAAACTAAAATGTTTTAAATATATAGTTATCATTACGGTAAAGTTAAGATTTTCAAATAGAGAATAAAAAATAAACAAGTTTAATTAATTTAGATTATGGGATGCAATTAGGCTTTTTCTATATTTTTTGCCGTCTAACAATTTAATTATTTGTTTTTCGGCAAATATTTTAATTAAACATTCTTCCTCCTCTTTCATCCAATTTTTTCTTTTCATTTCCTTTTTCTCCATATTTTTAGTTATTTGGTTAGTGTTATTTGTAATAAAATTCAAATTATTTGTACCTATTTACTGTTAACAGCTGACAATTCAAACTTTAAACTGCTTTTAAGGTGTTTACGCAAAGATTAAAAGTGACATTTCTTACTAAAAGTGATGTTAAACTACATTTAGTAAGCTAAAAGTGCTTTTAAGCAAAATTCAATTTAGGGTGTCTACGCGATCTTAAAATCGATTTTAAGAGCCTTAAAACAACTTTTAAGGCTCGCGTAAACGTAGTGAATATATTTTGGTAAAGCTATAAAGGAGGTTTTATTGAAAAGTTACCAACACATAAGTTGAGTTTAGCTTGTTTGATTCAAATGTTTATATTCACCACTTTTCACAAAATGTATGTTCGTTGCCGGTAGCGTTAGCAGCTGTGAAACTCTCCACACAACGAACACTGTAATCACAACAAAACAAAAATGAGAGCTTTGCTCGCGTATGTTAAAGTATATTTTACTTTCCTTTTTAGTTATTTCTTAGAATTCCTTGTGTTTGGTTGATTTGTTTTGTTTTGTTTAATAGCTCCTCACGTGCGTGTAACATTCTTCCGAGTAGCTTAAGAAGAAAAGAAACGGCATTTCTGTCTGTTTCACTGTGACGCAATGAAAGAACACATTGTTGTTATTTATAGCCACATAAATTATTTTGCTAACACTTTAAAGCCGGAATTTTTTGTTATAAATCATCAGTTTCTGTTTGTATTTTAAGCGGAGTGGGTCGTTTCGGAAAATCGTTTCGTTTCGTTTTAATTTAATACCAAATTTTATAGTTCTGTCTTAGCAACGGTGGAAAACAAAAAATCCAAAACAAATCGCAACTAAATCG